TTTTTAAGTGTAATACATGATTTAAAAATTTTAAATGCATCATTCATTATAATCTGGAGGAAGCCAAAACTTCAAACTTGTAGTTAGTGTCCACTGCATGTAAATTGCTGGCTTCGCCCCTAAGAAGACTTTAAAGGCTAATTGGTTTGACATAGAATGGATTTTTTTCCCATATCATCAGGCACTAAATTATTGAGCTCCCCATATTCGACGAAATGCCCCAACTACAAAAAAAAACTATGCTTTCCCTGAGAGGAAGAATGGCAACCTGATGTGGGGGCCTAAGTGAATCAAAAAATTTAATCAACTGCTAGATGCAATAATTATATGCCTTACAATCAATCTCTGTATATTCCTCCTTGACTACAAGAGAGCCAACACCTGTGTATGTGTGTGTGTTGGTGGGAGGGGAGGGGGGGGGGGGGGGGGGGGGTGTAGTTTGTTGGTGGATGGACTCTAGTTTTTCTTTATTAGCGTGTGGTTGGTGGTTGCACTTTTAAGATCAGTGTGATGTTGCTTGTCTCTAAAGTGGAAAATGGGATTTTGTTTTAAAGTGGATTGTACTCAAAGGTCAAATTCAGCATGCTTCAAGACAGTCAATGTTATGTGCTTTTTTTTTGATAGGCAACGATCGCAATTCTAAGTACTGGTAACATCAGCTTGAAGGGAGAGTAACAAGTATACATATATCACCACAACTACTTGCATATTCTGCAGCAAGATGAGCTACATTATTACCCGATCTTCTCAGCCAATACACTGAAAAATCAGCAAAACCCGAAGCTAACATGAATCTGGTTCACAAAATTTCCAAAACTAGCATAACATGTCTGCATATTCATCACTGCATCAATGATAGCCTTTGCATCACCTTTTAAAACAATATGTTTCAGCCCTTCTGGAATGGCCAGATTCACTGCCACGAAAGCTGCCATAGCTTTGACATCCTCAGCACATAGGGGAGAGACTACCTTTTGGCTTAGGGGGCAATCACAAATTTTCCAATACTATCTCTAATGATAACAACCACCCCTGATGCTTTGAGTGCACCGAATGGTACCCCATCAAAACTGACTTTGAAAACCCAGTAGGGGGAGCACTCCAGCACATCTTTTTATTGTGGCCCCTTGTAAAATTCAGTTGATGAGACACACTGTCCGCAGCCCTGAATTGATTATAGAAGGATACTGAAAAATCCACAATCTGATCTGGTGTCTTCGTGTCCTTCATGACCCATGTTTTTAATGGGAGACCAGATAGTTCCCATACCTTTTTATAAGGCTGGCCCAAGGCTGCTAAAGCCAGAGATTTAGGCCCCATCAAGATGGAATGCCTCAAATTTTTCTGGGGGACGTTCGGAAGTGGGTATACAAAATTGAACTGAATGTACATAAGAAAAAATATTATATATATATATATATATATATATATTAATAAAATCCATAATAAATCCTCTCTATTTTTTCAGGGATATGCTCAAAATTTTTGAAAACTTTTGAAATTTGACAACTAAAATTAAAGAACTTTAATTATCTTATCTTAAAAAGTACTAAAATCAAATAATTTTGATTTTAGATTTAGGGTTAACTACAATGGAGGTTCCCAAAATATGAGGTTTGTCTTATTTTGGTCCTCAATACTTCAATTGAATTATTTTGGTTCCTGAAGTATTGAATATGTTTCTATATGGTCCCTCAAGTAGACAGTGTGCGGTGGTTAACGATTGTTTTTATCATTAACTTATCATTTGATTTCTAAAAATGAGTAAAAAAATAATTTAGATAACTTTTAACCAAATTTTTACTCAAATTTTGGTCAAATAGCTACCCAAATTGCACATTTTTTATCATGAGTTATCTAAATTTTGGTCAAAACTTACCGATATTACACCTTTTTTGTCAAGAGTTACCCAAATTTTGATTAAGAGTTATTCAATTTTATTTTTTTTTTGTTCATATTATACGACAAGTTTATGATAAAAAATCATTAGCAATCTAGACACTGTTTGCTTGAGAGATCATATAAAAACATATTCAATATTTCAAGGACCAAAATAATGCAATTGAAATATTAAGGACAAAAAATGAGACAAACTCCTTACTTTGGGGATTTCTAGCTTAGATTTAATTTGATCATATATAAATACACACAAATAATACTACGAAGTCACACCATGAAATCTAGTTTCTATTACTCCTACATTGTTTTGCTACACTATATTGATATACTTTAATTTCATAAACCTTTTAAAGTATATCAATACATTGTATCAAAACAGTGTAAGAGTAATAATGTATTAAAACGGTAATATATGTACACACACATTATCAAATTAAATCCAATGTAAAATCAAAATTTTTGAGTTTTAATACTTTCTAAGATAAGATAATTAAAATTTTTAAATTTTAATTGTCAATTTTCAAAAATTTCCAAAAACATTGAAACATATCCCCAAAAAAATGAAAAAGATTTATTATGGATTTTGATTTTCTTAAAATTTAAAATTTTGTTTTATTAGAACTCCTATATAAGAAAGATTTAAAGAAATGGAATTCATATGAAAAAAATCAATTACTTTATTACAAAAAACAAAAAGATTTTGAAGTATATTCATTATCGAATCAAAAAGATAATTTTCAAATATATTTTAAATATGGTTTTTTATCATATTAATTATGAAACTAACATGAACTCATATATTTCTATTTATGGATCACCATTACAAGTAAATATGAATCAAAAGATTTCTTATAGTTACAACACACCTAAAGGCAAATTAGGGCAAATATGTCAAAAAAATCACAAAAAGAAAAATTGTATATATGGCAAAATTAAGTTCTAAAAATAAGGACTTAATGACTTAATATTAAGAGTTGTGTAGTTTTTGACAATTAAGTCTAATTTTGTGTTCCCCTTTATAATTAACCTTTTTTTTTTGTGTATTCATAGTCCATGTCAAAGTTTTACATTCATAACATGTTTAGGGTTAGCAAAAATGCCCTATAAGAATAAAACTCAATTACAAAATTTTAAGCCCAATAAAAAAGATCCATTATTAGAAATTTATAAATGACTTAACTGTATTATTTATTGAGAATGATACACAAAAAAAAAATTGAAATGATACAACTTAATTTGTATTTTCTCATCTCAAATCGAAAAGCAAAAAAAATATATTTCAAATGAATGTAATTTAATATTGAATATTATTATTTTATTAAATATTAATATGATCTCATTTATAAATTAGGTAAATTGGATGTGGGTACCATTTTAGGTCTTATTTGGATATAACTTCCCTATTTTAGTATGTAAATATTTAAGTTCAAAATAAATATAAACAAATTTTAAGGAATTTCACTTTTTCAGTTTTTATTCTTTTTTTTTTTTTAATATTACCTGATTATTTACTACTTTGATTCATGCATAACTGATATGAAAATATTTGAAAAGATTCTTTATAATGTTATTGTGTTATATATTGATGATGCCTAGAAAATCCCAAGGCTAAGCTCGGTTATTCAGATCAGGTTGGGAGCCTAATAACATAAAAAACTCGAGCACTCTTAATTTGCACCTCAAAGGAAGCAGAGTGGAAGGCATCTGACAACCACCAAGCTTCTCCTCAATGAAAACAAGCACCAGTCCAAGCACCAAATTCACAATTCCCCCATCACTCCGCATAATCGCCACACAGGTCAGGCAAAACGTTACATGAGGGAGGTGAAGATCACGCCTCAAATTCAGCTAAACTTAAAATTTGCTATAAATACTGCACAAAGCCCTCTCTAGGGGGTGGACAATAAGAGCTTTTATCAAACTACAGTGTAATTTTTCTTTTTATAAATATATTCCTCAGGGCAAGAGACTCCATTAAAGAATAGATTAGTCGTGCTCCTAAACTGGTGAACCACTATAATTCTTTTGTACAATTGACCCCATTCACCTAAATTGACCTCATTCATATTGAATTCTTCAGTGCATCTTGCATTCTCCGCTCTGCTCAATTGCGATATACACATCATCATAAACAATGGTTTGAGTTTTAAAATACTGATATCAATTCATTTAACATTATAAATTAACTCGGCACGGAATGATGCATGAGATGACATACCTATGTACAACTATGCTAATGGTTATCTTAGCTTAGTGGTGGAGGTATATATTGGCGAGGTTGGTGTTTTTGAGGTTGCGTGATTCGATTTCACAACCCACGTCAAGGACGTCCATATTTTAATTGTTGATTAAGCTAGCAACTAAGGAAATGATATCTATCTGAATATCATCATCTTATATAGATTTTAATTTAAGTGAAGAAAGATATGCCCAAAATCAAAATTTCGATATTAGTATGATTAAACATTACAATGATTCGACATAAAGACTGAACTACAATCAAATGCTTGAAATTAAGCTCACCAAACACAAAGTTCAGATTTACGAGAATACAATATAATGTGGACGATATGCAAATAAGTTTTTACGAATCGAATCTTAAATTTTGAGAAGTACGTATTTTCAAAAATAGAAATTTCTTATGAGTTTCATACAGAAATTTCTTATGAGTTTCATACACGCCTGACACAATATGATGGGCTTGTGCACTTGTGTTCTTCATCTTTTCTCAACTCATATTACCAAGGTCTTACAGAGGAATATTACGTAAGAACAAGAAAATCTTTGATTTCAATTAATAAGAGACAAGGTAAAAGAAACAAGTTTATGACGAAGAGACTCAACTCAAGGGACATCTAACTACAAGGGACTACCAAACAACTGACATTAAACTTTTGAAATGCACAAAACCTCATGTATTACAACAGAAGCTTTTATATATAACCATGGTCTTTTTCTATGTCAAAAGAGAAAAATCATTAACATTCCTGCTGGTTAAAACAAAATGGATGGTGCAAAACCTTGTTCTTATCCTATGCCCAGAACCTCAAAAATTATCTAAGTTTTTTGGAAAAGCATATGATTGATCTTCATGTGTTGTGTTGTGTCATGTCGAGTTTATATCTTGTCAAAGTTGTCATATTAAAATTTCTTCAACCATACCCAACACATTTTTAATCATGTAGAATCCATGCTGTGTCACCTTCGTGTAGTTTATAAATGTCGTCTTTTGCGGATTTATGTGAAGTTTAGGCCACTGCATATCAATTTATTTGACGAGTTTAACATGTGTACCTATTTATCTAAGACTAAACTCAAATCCTCTTTCCGTATTAGGTTTGCAAGTCTATGTGTAGAAATGTAGGACTTAGTTCTACACACCAAAATCATATGTGTGCTGGACAGCTTGAACTGGGATAGTGGATTGCTCTAACATGTTCAGATATCTCTCGTTTGCTTAGAAAACGTGGGAAAAAACGTCGTTCCACATATGTTACTTCTAATGAGCTTTTTCGTGATTTTTCCTTCACCCTTTCCGTTCCAAAATATACCGGAAAATATAAAAACCCAAAGTGTATAGAGAATGATAATTCCCCCAAGGCTAGAGTAGCAACTGAAAGGTGACAAATTTTCATACTAATTAGCACGTTCCACTTATAATCTTTGGGAATAATTTGAGTTTGATGAGTTCTTTTTAAAGGACACCACATGAAATAATAAATATGAAAAACAATTCTCGCTCAACCCACCACATAATAACGAAAAGTAATTTTTGATACCATATATTTTTTTTTTTTTTTTCAAGTTCAACAATCACAAATAAATCAATACAAAATTTTAAGATAAATTTTTTAACATGATATTCACATTTTCTAGTAGGTATCGTAGCCAAAATCTAAAAGGCGCGCATTATTCAGAGGGAGGTGGAGTCTGATGAGACTTAGCATGATACATCGAATTCCGACGTGAAAAGCAGTTTTCCGTAAAGGGCCTTGGAGGAGGTGAAAGCTTAGGGCTTTCTGAGTTTATAAATATTACATTCAGACTTAGTAGTAGCAAGTGACTCATGGATTGGATTACTTTTTCTATTTAGAAATTTAAATGCTAAACCTGCTATTTCAAAGACAAGGACACCAAGTCATTCTGGATAGGCCTCAATGATAGACTGAAGTGCTGGAATTTTGATGATCTTGTAACGTGGAAAGCCTCCTTCCTCAAGTATCTTCTTCCATTCAACCTCAGTCCTCTCCTTTCCTCCTGGAAAGTGTGTAAGCATCACAAGATCAAACATCAAGCCTATGTTGTCAAATGGATCACCACCACCAGGCTGTAAAACCACTTCGACAATAATAACCTTCCCAGGTTTTTTTGATATTGCTTTTCGACAATTTTTCAGTATCTTGATACAATTTTCATCAGCCCAGTTGTGCATGATCGACTGCATAAAACAATATAAAATATGAAAAGTGCGTATAGTAGGGTTGTTTAACTGTCCAAATAGTTTGAGCTCCGCTGGTATTCACTCAAAGTGATCTGAGCTTAAACAGATTTTTAATTTCATTTTTGTAAGCAAACTGAATATGTGCAATGTATGACTTGGCTCCAATAAGTTCTTATCAAATAACTTTTATCTAAAAGACGAATAATCTCAAATATATATATCCCCCAAACTTTCGAGCTCGGCCTGTAAGAACCGAGCTAAATATTCAATTTGAGAGCTTACCTTCATCAAGATGCCATCAGCATGAGGAATGGCCTTGAACATATCACCCCCTACATGGGTAACTCCGTTGTACACTGGTGCAGTCTTAACTACATGCTGCAAATCAAAGTTGGTTCCTTTTATATGTGGGTGTGCCTTAACAATCTCAGCCACTGCAGCTCCAGTCCCACCACCAACGTCCACAAGCGACCCAATACAACGAAACCCTTCTTCATACTCTGATATCAATGCCTTAGTTGTGATTCTGGCTGTACATGCCATGGCTTGGTTGAAGAGCCGATTGAACTCGGCATTTACAGACGCCAGCTCGAAAAGCTCTCGCCCATGGGCTTTCTGGAATGCAGAACCGCCCTCTTTCACACATTGACTCAGGCACTGGAAAGGTGACATGATCAATGGATTGTTCCGCATGAACACTAGAGGCGCCAAGCTTTGCTCGGCGTCCTGTTACAACCATTTCGAAGAGTGGTTCAAGCTGTAGAAAGTCTCCCCCTTTTTTGATTGAGACATTTCGTCGAACACTTATTTGTGGACTAAGAATCTCATTACGCGAGCCAGACAATTGATGTCTAGTGAGGGAGAAGTAGGACCAATTTCATTGGCGATTTGGGTCAAAGTCATTGGGCAACCGTGGGAGTGTATGATGTCTGGAATTCGGAGCTCCACAGCACATTTTAAAGCCATGGATTCCACAGAGCTATATAGGTATCGCAATATGTTAGCTTGGCCAAGTATCATAGCATCTGCTTGTGATAATTCTTTGTCCAGGCTTTCTCTTCCTGTTTGTTTGTAAGGTTTGTCTTTTGAGCTACAGAAATATGCATGTCTTCTAGTTATATAAACTTCGCGCGCACACACGCACAGATGATAATTTTTTTAGCCGGCATGTTTACCTGTGCTTTTGACCTAATTTAGGCGTTTTTTAAAAAAAAATCCCAAAAAATGGTAAATTTGAAAATAATTCCCAAATAAAGGTATTAAAAAGTTAGATGGATCGACGTTTTTAGTTTAAAGATGACTTTTTTAAGCTAAAAACATCAATTCATCTGACATTTTTAATCTTTTTTTTTTTCAACACAATAGACTTAAAAAATGGTAGTTGGATTGGCGTTTATTTAAACACGTCAATCCAACTAACGCGTTTAACATGCTAAAAACTTTCCGCTGGCTGCCTTGCTCATAGATATAAATATATAAGACTTCCTTAGTCTCCTCTATTGGGTTGGGTTAGTAGGAAGTCTTTGTCAACCCTTAATTTTAACTTATTTCATAACATTTTTTTATTTATTTCATATTTGCAGTCATAAACTAATCTTTTTTCAGTATTTCATGAAAGACCTGGTCTTAGGCATTTGAAAGTCTCCAAAGTATAAAAAGTGTTCATTTTGACCATTAATATTTTAATTGTATTATTTTAATCAGTGAATTATTGAATATATTTCTATACGATACCTCAAACAAATAACGTCTAAATTGTTAATAATTTTTTTATTATAAATTTATCACATAATATCTATGATGAATAATAATATTATGTTCACAAAAAATATACACTAAAATTTACATCAAATCACTTTCAGCCGTTAGATCAATGGGTCCCATCAGTGATCCAATGATTGCATTTGATTTGGTGTAAATTTTGGTACCCAAATTTGATACACATAAAATTATCCAATACTTAAATATGAACAAAAATACTTGATCTACATTTTAATTAAGGCTAACTTACACCCTGAAGGATAATTCGAATATCAATTTGTACCCTCAAAGTTGAAAAATATTAATTTACACCCTAAAAAATACTTGATCTACATCGTATCAATGTTTGGGTAAATTATAAATTGCACCCCTCAAATTTTAAATGTAAAAGTAAATTATAAATTGCACCCCTCAAATTTTAAATATTTTACATTTATGATCTAAAAAGAATTCTATCCATTAATAGATGGAATTCTTTTTAGATCATAAATATGAAATATTCAAACTTAGAGGATATAATTTATAATAAATCTAAACTTTTTTAACAGAAAAATGGACTGAATTAATTTCATGTACACATTGATACGATTTTATATCTTTCAAGCTATAAATTGATATTTTTAAATTTTAAAAGTGTAAATTAAAATTTGAGGGACTTTTTTTAGAGTGTAAATTGAGATTAACCCTTTTATTTATTTCATATTTTTAGTCGCAGACTCATCTTTTTACCACTATTTCATGAAAGGCCTGGTCTTACGCATTTGAATAACTTTTCGAATACTCTATAGTTTTAAACATCTTTATTTGCACTTGATGGGTCCCACACTTTGGGTGGAAAAAGAGGGAATTAATGTGTAAGCTTTTGACTAAAATAATGGTCGCACTGTTTGTGGTGGATAATCAGTTGCAGGACCCACAATTACTTGTCTAGCTTGTCCGAATGAGTGATAAGGGTCGATGAGCTCATTGCGGAATGAACGCTTTCATCCATACCACGTTACACCACTAGAATCAGTATATGATTCGATAGAATGAACTTTGTTCAACGATATTGAGCTGTTCGTTGAGCATTCACGTTTATTATCCGAAGATGAACTATTTTAGTTATAATGTGAAGAAGAACTTAGTTGAACTGAATCACATAGAGAAATGCCCCTTTACATATAGCAAATGAGGTTTATATATGCAATAATATTATTTGAACCTTTGTTAACATAATTAGCCAACTTAATTATTTGTAATTCATTGTAATTAAGTGTAACAGATAAATGTTTTTTTGGGATGATAGCTGGCTTTGAGTCAAGAAAAATGGGATTTGGTTGGGTTCCAATAACCATAAACTTGCTAAAACTGTAGTATAAGTTGTTTGGAAAACAAGGATAAAAACGAGGGAATCTGACGAGAGAGAAAGCTGTGTTAGCACTTACCAACTATGAACATGTATATATAGTGGTATTTTATGTGTAAGAAGAACAAAATCTACTGTTGGATAATAAAAAAAACTTAGAGTGGGTTTAGGGTCATGTGTACACCCAATAAAAAATTACTTACACATACAAGTTTCTATTTTTTTTTTTTCAAAAAATATATTATATATCACTTGACACTACCAAGTGGTGTGTTAACCAAACAAAAATTTATCGTGTAAGTTCCAAAAACACGTCGTTTACAACCAAAGTAAGAAAATAATCCCGTGTTATGGATGCCCTAACTTTAAGCAAAGTTGTTTTCTATCTTCACTTTGAACAGCACAAAATAACTTTGGAAGATCTCAACTCCTCTACCAATTGTAAAAACCAAGCAAACAACCAAAATCCCCCACCCCCACCCCCACCCAATCATCTAATGATTTCGCAACACAACACAGACCAATTTGTCATAATCAAATGGATGAAATCATTTCTGATCGGTATGTGCTATTGGGGACACTTTTTTTTTTTTAATGTAAATCAATGGATTTAACGTACTCTTTATGAGGACTGCACCGACATCGTATTTGGAGGTGGACAACTCTTTCACTTTTGCCACTCGGAAAAACTCATTTTTGCACATAATGTTGTCGATTTATAATTGTTTCTTGCTATAGCAAGCATATTCAAATTAAATTTTTTTAAAATGTGCTGGAATTAACTTAATTAGAATTCAGCACTCACCATATATAGAAATTTTTTTTTTAGAATAGTGAACATGATTATAATTTTATTTTTTTTTCCAGAATAAACTGTTCCATGTCAATTCCAAGTTCAAGTCCAAGTCCAAATTCAAAGTCCAGAATAAACTGTTCCAAAACTTTAAAACATTCCAAGTCCAAAGCCTTGTGATAAGAAATTTACAATTTTAATTGTTCCATGTCAATTCTCCCTACTCATATTAGCTCCATCTGGATTGCATATATCATTGCAAGTTTGAGAGGAAAACTAAGAAAATTATAATACGTTGGAGAGAAATCTATTAATACTGCAACCAGCAGATGATACCTATTGACATACACTTCACAGCATGAAACACATGTTGTCAATGGTGTTCGCAAAATAGCCTGACCAACAACCACCACAAATTAAACATATAATTAAATTACTAAAAATAAAATAAAATTAACTAACTAACAGATAATTACAATCAAATAAAATTTTCATTTAACACAAAATTACAACAAACAAATAATTTTTTTATTTAACAGATAATTACCAAAAATAAATAAAAATTAAATTTCAAATAAAAAAAAATGGAGTACACTAACCTGCTGTCAATGGTGTTCGCAGGTGATCGCTCTTGGTCAATGGTGGTCGCAGCTAGTCGCTCGTGCTCCCTGGTGGTTTGCCTGAGAAGGGTCAACTGCATGAGGGTTTTGGTGGCGTGGTCCCTAGTGGTCGCTGTTGGTTGCAAGTGGTGGGTTGCAGCTTAGGGGGGAGATGCAGGAAGGCTGGTTGAAGACGGGAGTTTGGTTCCAATTTTAGGGCTCAGACACAATTTGGGGGAAGAATGGAATAAGGGAGGAAAGAAGAGGGAAATATTTAATTTTTGGATGAACTAAACACGTTGACGTGTTTAAACTCAATGTGAGCTGGTCTTCGGGTTAAAAACGTCGGTCCATTGATGTTTTTAAAAATTATTTGGATTTGGAAATTATTTTCAAACCTACCATTTTTTGAGATTTTTTTTTAAAAAACTCCTGAATTGGTTCAAAAGCTCTGTTTGACCACTAAAATTATTAACAGAAGAAAATCAACTTGAGTGATATTTCAATTATAAGTTTCTTGAGTGATACTTGGGTATCAATCGAGTGTTATCAGCTCCTTGAGTAATATCAGTGCAATATCATAGTGATTTTTTATTTTTTTTTGTTGAAGTAAGTACTTATGAGGTTTGATATAATTATTCTTTTATTCCTATTTTAGTCCATAGTGAAAGAAACCACATAAATTACTTGTGTCTTGTGTAAATATTTTTTTTTTTATTATTTTTTCACTTCTTTGTGAGTATTAATTATGATCACAATTCAATTCTCGGGTAATTTCTGATACAAAGTGGTACCGATTCTGAGTACTATTCATTAATAGTATTCATAGTTACTATTCATTGAGTCCTGTTTAGATAATACTATTCAAGAAATAGTAATCATCTACGTCAGTTTCTTTGACCTCATCGAACAAAGTTTTGAAGTCGTGGCAACATAACTTTCAAAGATCTCGTGTTGTAATTGTGCAGCAATTATGGTGAATAGTAAAGAATTAAATAATTAAAAAAGCAGGAGAAAATAACACACAAAGATTTACGTGGTTCGGCAATGTGCCTACATCCACGAGAGCGAGCGGCCGTTCTTTTCCATTATTGAAGTAGGGTTACATCTTAAGTATTTATATACCCCTAATATGGACATATTTACAAAAATACCTCTGTACCGTATCGCGGGGGCGTTGCCCCCGCACCCCCAACTAATCAACGTCTCCTTTATATAAATCCCGCAAGGCAAATGCCATCGCGGGCTCCACTCCGGCATCTGCCTCTTTGTCATTATGCACACAGCAAATATAAGTCACACATACTCTAACATCTCGAATGCCAAGTTCGATGTGGAAAAATTTGATGAAAAAAATAATTTTGTCCTTTTACAAGTCTGAGTTAAAAATGTCCTAATCCAATAGGGACTGCACAAAACATTGAAGGATAAATCTAAAGATATAGGAAAATGCTATTTAGACTTA